CTCTACTAAAAATAGAAAGAAATTAATTGGACAACTAAAAATATATAGAAAAAATTAGCCAGGCATGGTGGCGCATGCCTGTAGTCCCAGTTACTCGGGAGGCTGAGGCAGAAGGATCGCTTGAGCCCAGGAGTCGGAGGTTGCTGTGAGCTAGGCTGACGCCACGACACTCACTCTAGCCTGGGCAAAAAGAGTGAGACTCTGTCTCAAAAAAAAAAAAAAAAAAAGCCATTTAGTCATCTGGCAGATTTTTTAGATCTACTTAAAAACTAAACTAATTGCTATAAGGATTGTTTTTAAAATAATTCTGTAAGAACTACAAAAATGAGACATCTTTTCCAAAATGCAAATTTGCATGTTAGAAAATATTTCCTACTGTAAAAAGATACTACATAGACTATAGATTATTAAACATCCATAGTTTGTGAAAATTATATAGGAAATAGCAATACTGTCTTATTCATTTATTCAACAAATATTTATCGACCCTGTTCTTGGTGCTAAGGATATCGAAGAAAACAAAGTCTTTGCTCTCAACAAATCACAAATACATCACAGGCTACAGAGTGACCAGTGCTATGGGGGGGGGTGGGAATCAGGTTAAACACATAGTGAAAAGAAGAAGGGTGAGATTGATATTTGAAAAAGGCTGAATGAAATGGGGGAGCAAGGCACGTAGCTATGTGGGGCATACACCTTTCTAAGTAGAGGCAATACCAGGTACAAAGGCTCTGAAGTGAAAATAGGCTTAGAAAGTTCAAGATCAGCCAGAAGGCCAGCATAGCTGAAGCAGAGTGAATGAGGGAAAGGGTACTAGGCAATAAAGTCAGTGAAGTCATCTGAAAAGGACCCTGACTGGTATGCCACAGTGTCGTCTCAGGATTTGAGCCATGGGGTCTGCTGTCCTGAACAGAAGGAAGGAAGTCCTATGGAATTCCCCTGAGGTAATACAGGTTGCTGATGCCCAGAAAACAATGTAGTAAGTAGAAATAATGTAGGAAACAGAAATAAAGTTGTCAGAACTAGCTAATTCAGAGAGGAGTCTCAAACCATAGCCCCACAAGCCCTTCTACTTTTTCTATTTCTCCCTCTTTCTTAAAACCATAGTCTGTGGAAGGTGGAAGGAACCACACAGACCTCCTGGTTGATTCTTTTCATTTTCCTAAGGGGAAACTGAGGTCCACAGCAGGCAAGAGCTTTGCTAAAGGTTATCCAGCTCACTAATGACACAAACTGGAACTAGAAACCAGGCTCTCCCGAATCCTAACCCATAACTTTTCCAACCACATCATGATATCTCTGTTGTCACCCCACATCCATGTTTCTCGTGTGTATGTCCCTCATGATACCCTTCCCTTCTTATTTGTGTAGGAAGGAAGGAAGGGAAGGAGGGAGGAGAAAAGAAAAGATAAGAAAAGAAAAGGAAAGAAAAGAAAAGAAAAGAAAAAGACAAGACAAGACAAGACAAAACTACCTACATTTCATTGCTTTTTACTTCTGCATAGCTCTTGTTTTCTCCCCAGTATCAGTATCTCTCACTTGGCCTCAGAAAATCATTATCTCAGTTCCCCATGGTAAACCTTTTGTTATTCCCATTATGAAAAATGTAATACCATGCAAAATGAGCCAATTTGTGTGTTCTTTCTAGCCTATATGCACACAATCTTAATAATTCTTTATAATGAAAAAAGTAATGCCCAATTGTGAAACATAACAAAAGAAATAAAGAAAATAACAAAGAAGGAAAAGAATGTTAATGGTGTAAAGTAAATAAGAAACGACCTTGTCAAATTGTTTTCATTCTAACCCTAGCAGGCTTCTTGTTATTCTCAATTCACACAGCACTTTTTGGATAATAATACTTTTGTCTCAATGTCTGATTTACTTTTTACTTTGGAAAAGCTCTTATAAATAATATACATATCATAGAGAAATTTTACTGGATAAAATATTGGTCATTTCCTTAGAAGGATCCCACTTATAGAGAAATCCTTAGCTATGTTAATGAAATGTACTTACAA